GAGCAGGGAGCCCGATGCGGGACTCGATCCAGGGACTCCAGGATCATGACCTGAGCCGAAGGCAGTCGCTTAACCAACTGAGCCACCCAGGCGCCCCTAGGAAGAATTCTTAATGACTCAGGATAACACTCCCAATACATACTCATGAAAAATTACATTCTGAACTATGTATAAAAATAGAGCTACACTACTGTTGATGGAAATAAGCGTAGACTGGAGAGAAATACTAATAGTGCTCTCTAAAAAATTTGTTTCTTTCTGCTTTCTGTACCCCTGAATTTTCTACTAACGCTGGCTTCCTGACAGCTGCTAGTTTGGTTTCTATCTGGGCACAGACTTGTTAGAGCTGCCTGCCACATAGACCACATCATCACTTCCTGTTTGTGTTCTCTATGGAGAGGAGTGGGCCACAGCCTAATTCCCATCTATATGCTCTCTCTTCTTGAAACATTCATTCCCTCTGCTAATAGACCCCTTACAGCACAAGGCTCTGCAATAAAAAAGACTTCTATAGAAAGGGGCATCAGGGGTGCCCTGACTTTTTCACGGTTTAAGGCTTGTTGATTGTCCTGTTATCCCAACTGACCAGAAATCCTCCGCTGGTGGGAAGGAAAACCTGCCATTACCTCAGACAACCAGAAGTCAAAGTCCTTGATGCCGGTGTTAAAGTTCTGCTGTTTGTTGGCTTCTTTCAGTTTCTGGCTCTTTTCGGCTGACTTCTGCACCAGGAACTGCCACTGGTCAGCTAAGGCAGCCAGCCGGGCCTGGGGAAGAGAAGGGGGCCATCGGAGATGGTGAAATCCAGGAAGAGTCCTTTCTCCTAAAGCCAAGTGACTCGCGGGGAGAGATAGAAAGCCTCACAGGAGCCCTTCGCACCAACATTCCCCATCTGTCATGTAGGCAAAAGTCTTCTAATCTGTTTTTTTTTAAAGATCTCATTTAATTACTTGACAGAGAGAGCAAGCGCACAAGCAGGGAGGAAGGGCAGTGGGAGAGGGAGAAGCAAACTCCCCGCTGAGCAGGGAGCCCGATGCAGGGCTCGATCCCAGGACCCCGGGATCATGACCTGCGCTGAGGGCAGACGCTTCAGTGACTGAGCCAGCCAGGCTTACGTCCTTAAAGCTGTATTTCCAAGTCGTCACCACAAGGACCCTACCTTGACAGCGTCCTCGCTGCCAGCACAGGCCCCGCGCTCGATGAGGGAGTTGCCCGTGTCGATGACCCCGCGGATCCGGTCGGCGTTGGCGTGCAGTTCCGCTTCAAAGGCCTGGTGCTTCTGGTGCTTGCTCTAAAATTCCAGAAAGATGACCTTTCAAAACCAGGTCCTGTGGGTTCCCTCTTTGTAGGGATGAGGGATTCTCAGGATAGGTGAGTGGTAGGAAACTTAAAGAACTGGGGGCAAGTGTCAACATTTCTTAGAGAAGGCAGTCACGGGATCTGTGAAATCGTTTAGGGTTCAGGCTGTTGGGAGTTGGGCGGAAGGACCGGGCCGGGAGAAAGGAGATGGACCAGCTCAGGAGCAGGGGAACGGAGTCAATTCTTCAATTAGCTGTGAGCCATGTCCAAGAATTGCATACTTTCTACCATTCTGCAGAAAATGCCAGCCGCCAAGTGCTATGTTCAACCTACTTGGACATCAATTTCCATCCGCGACCTTCTCCTCCATGGACAGAAGATCTAACAGGTAACACACACCTGGCTCGCTTGTCATACACACAAGGCCGTGATCGTGGCAGCCGGCAGGCAGACCCTCCGCCGATGGAGGCGCATCTACGGCTTCCTCAGACCTTGACTTGGCTGCCTTCTCATTTGGTAGCTGTCATTAACCAAAACTCACAGATGCTGTCAAAATCCAAGCTTGACTACAGGTAGGAAATGATTTTTGCTAGGGAAAGAGAGGGCTGGGAGAGTGCCAGGCTCCTGACACTAGGGCGGAAGGGGATTTTAAGAATCCACAAAGAAACAGAGTTAGGTACGGGAAACACCGGGAGAGACAGTGCAAGGACACAGCTGTGGCACAATTCTGGGTGAGAAAGGCAGGGTCTCGCAGGACAATATTTGGGCGAAAAAGAACTAAAAGGGAAACAAAGCAAAACAGTTCGGTTGGGGAAGGATTCTGCATCAAATGTTTCATTTCAGGGGCAGCAACTGTCAGAGGACGGAGCCGCCCAGCTGGTGGAGCGCGGCGCTCACATCGGGCGTCCCCCTCTCCGTGTTCCACTGCCCAAGTCTGAGCAGGGTCTCAAATACCCACATATCCTGACCTAAGTCCAGTCCCCCACTCCTGTTTCTTGCTCTGATCACTCTTTGGTTCAGCCCCACCTATTTTGTTTCTTCATCTCTTCCATCCATTTAAAGCACCATCTAAGCTACATTTTCACCGGAGAGTCCCCTTCGCTACCCCTTGAGTAATAACGTCCCCTTTTTTCCTTAACCTCTCACCCGTCGTTCCTGTCAGATTTGGAAACAGACCATCTGCTTCTCTGGAGCAACTTAACTGTCCCTCTCCAGGGACCAGCACCTCTGGATGGCAGCCTGGGTGCGTCATCAGACTCTCACGCCACGCCAGACTCCTTGTCCTCGGCCACTGAGAACTGTGAGCACAAATCCACACTCCAGAAAAAGCTGATTATTTCATTTTTTAAAAGAAGTGCCTCTGAAAAGACAGCAGCTAACTACTGCCCCCAAATCAAACATCATCCAGAGCTTGCCTGAGTGACACATAAGGAGAAGGAAGGGGGCGCAGGGCCGCAGGCTAATTACGACAGAGAAAGCCACATCCCACAGGGACACTTGAATGGTGTGTGATGGGTCATTAGAAATGAGAAACACGGGTGAGGAGACACCAGCTGACCGCATGAGGCCACAACAAGGATCTATGCAGAGGAAACACAAACACTGGAGCGCGTTTAAATAAAACTCTTTAAGAAAATTAGAAACTTACCAGCAGCTTGGAAAGCTACAAAAATAGATTAAAATAACAAGAGTTCAGTATACTGAGGTGAATGCACACATCAGCTCCTAAACAGCAGCTCATTCTGCTGTCATACTTCCCCTGGGAAGCTCAGCATGGGGGTACAGCTGCTAGAGGGGACTCTACAGACTTTTCTAGCAGACACGGCTTCCACGGAGACAAGTGAGGAAAGCACTTTCTCACGTCGGATCATTCAGTGACATTTTTCCACAGGTTCAGCTTCTTAGAGTAATTTTCGCTGGATTCAGCATGGACACAAGGAAGTGGTTCTCTAGGTAAAGCCCCCACCCCCCTTAAAGATGCCTTCTTTCCCAAAACCTACCCCGTAACCGAGGTCTCCTCGGAGACGAGCAGCCCCTAGGCTCAGCTCACCTGGATGTTGGTGGGGTCCTTGTACGACTCATCGCTCGCAGTCTGTAATTTCTCACTGATCCAGGCCTCGATTTCATCCACGTCCCGGCTGAACTGCTGGAGGGTCTGTGATTCTCCCAGCTTCGACCTCTTCTCAATCATCTGGGCTTTCAGGCGTCGCCACCTGAGAAAGTGAAATGGAGCCTGAGCGAGAACCTCCCTGAGAACAAGACTAGCCAGGGCTCCCGCACAGGGCCGTGAGCGCGCTCAGCACCACCCGGCACCCACCTGTCCAGAACCTCGTTGCGCCGGCTGCAGATGTCGCCCTTAGCATAGTGGCCGGCGGCGACGAGCTGGTCAGCAAAGGACTGCAGGGCCGCAATCTTCTCCTCCTGCCGGCAAACAAAGGCGTGAGGCCGAGGTGGGCGGGAGGGTCCAGCCCTGCCTGGACAGCAGGTCTTGTGAAGGGAGTGGTTATTCTGGGTGGCTGGGGACTAGCCGGTGGCGGGATCAGAATACACTGACACTTTAGAAGCGGGAGAGCAGAAGGCCAGAAGAAAGCTTGATTTCGACCATTAGGAGGGTAGAGTTTAACTCAAGAAGACTCCAGATCACACTGGGGACAGGGGTTATGACACTAGGAGTTGTCACACGCAAAATCAAGCTGATTGTGAAAAGAGTGTCAGATTTTCAACAAAATGGGTTATAAATCAAAGAGGTGTGCCCATCTTCCCGAGTTGTTCGTGTTCACACACTCTTTCCTTACCAACACGTTTATGTTTCTGCTTTGACAATACATTTTTTCTGTGAGGCATCTTCGTTACTAAAACCTCAGAATTATCAGAATTTAGAAGTTTTAAAAAGCATTCATGTCCGTATCATTTTTCCCAATCCACACAGGTACTTGATGCGGGTGTGAAGGGGACCGTTCTTCCTTCGTGTGGTCAACAGCAAGTCTATTCATTTCAGGGAGCGGCCAAAGCTTGGTTAAGCATGTTAGGGACAAGTTTTTATTCTCATTGTTGAGACAGAAAGGAGAAGCAGCCCACAAATAGAGCCATCCATCTGGACTAATTTACATGGAGACCTGAAGGTAAAACGGCCTCACCTGGACGTTGATGGCTTTGTCGAAGTCCTCGTGTTTTTTGATCAAAGCCTCCACGCTGTCCAGTGAGTCTCCTTTGTCCTCAGTATTCAAGAAGGCCTCCCGGGCAGCCATCCAGTTTTCAGCTTGCTCACAGTCCCGATGAAACAGCTAAAGAAAGGGAGGCAGGTGAGAAGATGGGGACGCTGGCCACGAAACTGCCGGTCAGAAAGCCTGTGGCAAATGGGCAGCGATGTCCCGCACACGCACCTGCAGTTCGAGGCACTGATCCAACATCATCCTGCGCTGAGCCCAGGCCTTCTCCAGACCCGCGCGCTCCCGATCCAAAATATCTAGTTTCTCCTTGACCTCTGGGCTGGCGTAGTGCCCATGAGCCAGCAGCTGCTGCCCAAACTGCTCAAAGGCCTGGAAAGTGCCAGCCCTGGCATCGATTTCTGTCCGGTGCTCCTGCCAAGAGGAGGGACGGGGTTAGGTTAACTGGCACTAGATGCCCACTGTTGTGTCAACCACCGACTCGTGGCGAGGGTGCTGCTGGTGCTGCTGGTGCTGGTGGCGGGGGAGCCAAGGTCCTCCCAGCCCAGCAGCGCAACCCCCCTTCTGCTGCTCAGCAGACGGATCTACCTACCTGGTGCCGTTCCAGCAAAGCTTCAGCTCCGGTGACATCCTTGGCTAGCTCGTCTGAGGAGACCAACCCTCGTATCCCATTGATCCAAGACATGAGGTCCCTGGCAACCAGACACAGAGGAACAGCTATTACATGACCTGGCAAGTAGGCTTTCTGCCCAGGAAAAGAGAACTGCACAATTCTTGTCTCAGAAGATTATTTGGGGTCAACTAGTTACTCTACTAACTAGTTAATCTACTGAATGGTTAACTAGTTATAATCTACATCTCTCAGCAAAATATTTCAAAGCCCCTTGTTCATCCTATTGAGATGTTAAAAAAATTAAAAACGACAACAAAAAACCAAGCATTCCTCAGAAGACAATGAACTAAGTTTGATACTAAGATCTTCTGACCCTAAAGAACAGTAGATGACTGGGTGGCTCAGTTGTTAAGCATCTGCCTTCGGCTCAGGTCATGATCCCAGGGTCCTGAGATCGAGCCCCACATCTGGCTCCCTGCTCTGCGGGAAGCCTGCTTCTCCCTCTTCCTGCCTGCTTCTCCCTCTCCCACTCCCCCTGCTTGTGTTCCCTCTCTCACTGTCTCTGTCAAATAAAATCTTAAAAAAAAAAAAAGAATAGCAGGTTTTAACACAAACAATAACTGTGTTTAGGTTTTGCATAGCTTCGGAGGAAACCACTTTTCTTTGAACTCACAGCAGTCCTAGGCCTATGCGGACGCTGAATCTTGCTTCTTACTGAGGTCTGCATGTAAGGGCACAAAAATCACCGTGTAATGTCACAGGTGCCATGCTTCCTTTGATAAAATACACCCAGAATAGGCAAATCCACAGAGATGGAATGCAGACTCGATGAGAAGAGGGGAAGGGGAGTGACTCCTCATGGGGCTCGGGGTGTGAAAAGTTTCAAAACTACAGAGAGCTGCTAGCCGTAGGACACTGCAAGCAAGTACACTAATTCCCAATGAACTGCACACTTAAAGATATGTAACTGTTACATTACTTGATCTTTACTTTAAAAAAAAAAAAAAGGAAAACCAAAAAACCAAAAACCCCAACTGGGGCCTCCTACTAGAGGCCTGGGAAGGGGGAGAGCATCACCTGCCTAGTCCCATCCCCGAAGAGGAAATGCCTGCATAACACACACACGTACGTGCGTACCCATGTGTGCACACACGTGTGAAACCCTTGTTCGACAGCACAAAGGTGTGCCACAAAGAAACCCCTGTCCTGAATTCATGCCAGGGACCAAGTTCCAAATCATCCGCCGGTGGTGTGCTACGTAGCCTTAAAAAAGACTGAGGTCCCAGGTCATGGGACATTCAGGGCGGCAACTGGCCTGGACTCTTCAAAACTGTCAATGTTGTGAAAGACGAGACACAGAGGGCGGAGGGGTAAGGAGACAAGGCTCCCACGCAACGGGAATTCTCAACTGGATCCTGGACCAAAAAACAAACCCGGACTAGTGAAGACACACTGGAGACAACTGGGAGAAATGGAACCGGGACTAGGTACAGTACTGCTGTGCTGGCCTCAGACGTGGGGGTGGAGAGCGGAAATGCAGGGCACACGGGAGGCACAGGCCCAAGTACTTGGAGGTGAAGGGCCACGTGTCTGCCAAGGACAGACAGGTGGGTCAGCAACATGGAAGTGTGTGCTTAGAGGTAAAGCCAACTGGTGACTACCGGCGAAGGGTGTCATGTGGGTTCACGGTTTCGTCCTTTCTAGTTTTCTACAGCTGTGAAATTCTAACTAAAACAGGTTTGTGGAAGAGACTAAAGTACATCTCTGGCAAGTGAGAGATACGTCTAAGGAAGAAACCGAATGCCATCTGGCGGGAAGTGGGGGAGATGGCGTGCACGTGGACAGGGAAGCAGAGACTTATTCTTGACTTGCTGGCATTAGGTAGCCGGAGGATTTTACATCGACCAGAGGTGACTTTCCCAACGAGAATGACCCCACGATGGCTTCCGGGCTTCGTACCGGAAATCACTGAGGAAGCGCTGCAGGTCGTGGGAGTCGCCCAGTTTGGCCTTGCGCTGGTCTGCGCGCTTCCCCAGGCTGCTCCAGGCCTGGTCCAACTCCGTGCACTTTTCCTGCAGGTCCTCGGCTGACTCGGGGTGGGACTGGATCAGGCGCTCGGCTGTCTCCCCCAGAGAGTTGACCTACGGGAGCAAGGTGGCGAGACAGCAAGTTAAGCGGGTTGCGCTCTGCCTGGGGCCAAAATGTCCATGGCACTGCCACCTCTCACCTTGTCGCCAAGAGCTGCGAGATCCCTCTCAAAGCCCTCGTGCTTGCGCTGCAGGGCTTGGACACTGGCCAGATCGTGGCCGTAATTGTCTGTGTTGAGAGCCTGATTCTTCTCTTCAATCCACTCTTTGGTTTCATCAGCATCTCTACGGAGAGACACACAGGCGGTTAAGGATGGCTGGGCACAGCTGCCCTGAGTCCAGGACAAGCACGGCAAACGTGTCTAGTGGGCACTGTATGTCTGTCAGCGGCGAGCACCAAAAGCTCCAAGAAGCAGAAGAACACTCACTCACTCACTCACTCTACGGAGCAATCTACCCCATTACACATACGGTCCCAGATGCGGGCGCACAAGTATCAACCAGATCCGAGTCAGCACGTTTAGGGGCTGCCAAGGTCAATCCCCCCCCAGCCCCGAGCTGCCCCGCACCTGTGGAACCTCTGCACTTCGTGGGCGCTGCCCAAGAGCTGGCTCCGCTCCTCGGCCAGCTGCTGTAGGGACCGCCAACGCTCGTTCAGCTCCTGCAGGACGACAGTGATCAGCTCGGCCGCACCCCCTTCTGTTGCACCCATGCCAGACCGGGCAAGGGGCAGGAACCAAAGCTGGCACTGAGCCCGCAAGGAAAGGCTGGAGCACAATTTCCTGTCTCTAGCCTTCCTAGCTGAATAAATTAGTATAGACACGACAGCAAAAGTCCAGAAGGTGAGGACCTCGCCATAGTTAACCACATCAGACGGCGTGAACGCTCCATGGATATCTGACCTGGAATCACCCCGAAAGCTGCAGAGACATGCAGCCGACTTATCCTCACTCTCAACTCCTAGCCTGATGCCTCCCACGGAGCAACTGTTTCATAAATAACTACTGTGTGGGGGGCGTCTGCCTTCGGCTCAGGTCATGATCTCAGGGTTCTGGGATTGGCCTGCCTCAGGCTGCCTGCTCAGTGGCGAGTCTGCTTCTCCCTCTCCCTCCCTTACTCACTCTCTCTCTTTCTCAAATAAATGGATAAAAATCTTTTTTTAAAAGATTTCATTTATTTATTTGAGAGAGAGAATGAGAGACAGAGAGCACGAGAGGGAGGAGGATCAGAGGGAGAAGCAGACTCCCCGCCGAGCAGGGAGCCCGATGCAGGACTCGATCCCAGGACTCCAGGATCGTGACCTGAGCCGAAGGCAGTCGCCCAACCAGCTGAGCCACCCAGGCGCCCTAAATGGATAAAAATCTTAAAATAAATAACTAACTAACTACCGTGTGGATAAATCCCAGAGCCTACTACCCTGAGCCCTGAGCACAGCTGCATCCCAGGCCACGGAAGGCCAAGCAGGGCCTTGTGCTTGAGGAGACAAAACACTGTGGGGGCCAGAAAGAGGCCAAACCTCTCCTGCAAGGAGGCGAGAGAGGCATTCCCTGCCTGCTGGGCCCTACACTTCTTGCAGCTCCTAGCCCTACTAGAAGTGAAGGGAAGGTTAACTTTACCGCTAAGACCTGTGAGTTCTTGACCAGGAAAGGCAAGCTCGCCACCCTGCCACGGGAGAAGAGTGGACACTTTCCCCAGAAACCCTCGGGCCCAGGACAGTGACAAGTGCAAGCTCGCGCGACTACTTAGCACGAGGGCTCGGCTACAGTCAGGAGAAGGAAAACAGTGAGGGAGACCAGGAGATGAGGGGGCTGGCCACAGTTTCTTACCTTTATAGAATTAAAGGTGGCCACGGTGTGAACCATCAGACGAGCAGACTATGTAGGGGAGGAAAGCAGAAGAGCAACACTAATCAAGTGTCTGCCAATTAAGAGACAATTCCGAGGAGCAAGTGCCGTTCATTAGGTCCCAATTATCAACCAGAATTATCTTAAGGGGACACGGTCAAAATTTTGAGCAGAGCCACAAATAAAGGATTAACAGTGGAAGGGCACAAAGCACCCAAGTGTACAATTTAATTAAGTTCACTGGATGAAGAGTCAAGAGAGTGGTGACAACCACAATTAAAACAGCGGGCTGTGGGGGGGCACCCAGCTGGCTCCATCGGTAGAGCATGTGACTCTTGATTTCGGGGTCGTGAGTTCGAGCCCCACATTGAGTGTAGTGATTGCTTAAAAATAAAATCTTAAACACACACACAAAAACCCCCAGCTGGCTGACAGAAAACAGAGCTCAAAAACTTCAGTGTCTTCTTGTTCATACTACAGAACAGTCCAGAAAACACCCAATTTAACAAATGCTGGCAACTGAGACTGTTTAAATAAATATACCAAGAACTTCGTATCTCTCCTTGGCTCCCGGGCTGCTCTTCTTTTTAACAGTGTCCCCCCTGAACTAAGGGCAACAGCCTTACCAGATTGGGGGGGGAAAAAAACCAACACAAAGACCAGTGAATTAGCTTTCTTCTCATCAAGGTACAAATCAGACGTTCCTTGGGATCGCAGAGCCCACCCAGTTTTACGTGAAAGAAACCCCACATTACAATGCCCATAATCTTCAAATATGTTAAGAAAATCGGGCCAAGCTGGGATGCGGGGAAGTCGGGCTCATCAGTGCTCCTGTGACACGCCCAGGTGACACTTTCAACCAGTGTAGGTGTGTACAGGGCTCAAAAAGTAGACACCTTTGTCTTCAACCCGTTTCAGAAATGAAAAAAACAAAAAAACAAAACCCTGTATTTATTTATTTATTTAATGGTACTGGTATTTATAAAGCTACCTGAAATATGCTTCTGAAAACATACTTGTTACCAGAAAAATCCTGCCACGAGGTTAGACAGGTAAGGATGTTGCCCACTCACACCACCAATGATCATATATTGCTTGTAAGAACAATTCAGATTGAGAACAAGGGAGAAAGCTGAAATCAAAGGGAAAAGGCATACTCCCCCCAATGTGAAGTCTCTTTAATGAGGAGAATCATCCGGGCCAGGAGGGGTGAGGAGGCCAGAAGCAACAGACCCTAGCCAAGCACCCTCCCTGTGTCTGTTTGGGATAGTGTCTGTTGTAGTAGGTACATCTCTTTTTGTTCCTCCTCCTGCATCTCTCTGCAGGATCTGGTGTCTTTGAAGAAGCATTTCTTAGGCCACTGGGGAAAGTGGCTAGGCAGAGGTCATTTTCTTCTCCCTGTCCTGTCCTTCGGGACTGCAATCCCATGGGTGCGACCACACCTAACAATGCAGGCCACCTGTGCAAGCTTTATTCTGGAAGCGCCGTGGGTATTAAATGCCATCTAACCCAATTCGTTCTGAGCACTTGCAGGGAAACACCTTGCTTCTCTATGTTAAGGATTGCATTTTAAGACACGACAGAGTCAAAGGATAGAATGCCAGGGTCAAAAAGAAACCAGCCCAAACAACTCCAGAAATGACCAGACTCCAAACAAGCCCGAATCCTCAGAAACACCAGAAAAACACATAAAATATGTCTATTCCTGAAAACCTTTGGAAATAATAATTGGCAAAGGAATTCCTACCTTCCACGGGGACGCAGTCTTGGAATCAGTTTCATCCTGTTCAGAGGAGGAGGCAGAGTTTACGCAGCCATGCGGTGCAAAACAACGCAGCCCCCACCCTCTCCCGTCCATGGTGGGGGGTCCCCAGAGCCATCAGCCAGACTGGCGTTTTACTGAGATCTACAACTGATTGCTGGCTCAGAGCACACAAGGCTGCTTGAGGGTAGTGAAGCCAACAAACAGGAGAGGAAAATTCTAGTTTTTTATGGAGTGGACCAAAATGAAAAGAATTGGGAAATTTAGTAAGAAAACCACCAACTTGTGTCTCTGTCCTACTCATCGGATTCTTGGAAGAAGGATAACAAACGTAAACAACTGCTGTGGAAAAAGTTTTAGAAAACTGAAGAGAGAACATTTTTTTTTTTTGGTCTTCTGGAGAATGGCAAATCCAAACCTATTTCTGCTATTATTTCTTTTCCACAGATTTTTGCCAACAAAGGGCATCTCTGAGGTTTGGGGACAGAAATCCTTACGAGGCTCGTGACTTTTATATTCTTCCCACGACCTACTCCTCCTCACGGACTCACCTTGGGCATCATGCCATACACCTCCTACAAGGAGAGAGGGAAACGAGTTTCATTATTAGAGCAAACACACAGCTCTCTGGGACACTCGTTACTGTCAAACCCGGACACGGAGATGAAATTACAAGAGACGAATTGGCCGGAAGAACTTCTTAAAAGTCTAACAGACCCAGTGTTTATATGTAAAACCTTTTACTTATTTAAGAAATGGGTGCGTTTAACTACTAATTAAGGACCATGTAAACAGTAAACAACTTCCACAATATGAAATGGGCACGTGGAGAAGACAGGAGGTAAATGAAATGGTGACGGAGAGCACCTGACCACACCCTGGCCCCCCCTCTGCGCTCGGGACACCATGTTGGGCTCAGAAGGACACAGGAAGGAGCCCGGTTGCTTCCTGCCGGTCACGCGGCCTCAGCCAAGCCCCAGATACTTGCCTGCTGCTGTACGGCCTGCACCTCGTCGGCCATCAGACCTTCAGACTCCAGGTCTTCAGCCACCTTGTTGATATCCTTCAGCCGTGACTCATTGGCCTTCAGATCCTTTAAAGCAAAAGCCATAATAACTAAGACTCTGAGAGTAAATCGGAGGAGGAGGCGGGCAAAAGAGGTTCACAAACGATGGTTTGAACCTATTCATTTCTGTTCACTAGGCATCCTATGAACTAGTTTTTCTATTCCATGGCAGTCACCTCCATCAGGACATCCTGACCGTGGCTATCAAGGAAGCAAGGAGATAACAAGCACTGTCTGACAATAGTCTGTCTCAAATTCACTTAATTAACCGTGGTTCATAAACCATTATTCTGTCGGGATGGAAATTTGCCTTCATCTTTCTTTGGAGGAATGTGTTTTCAAAATGTGCTGAAATTCTAATGCCAGCCCCTGTGGGAAAATAGCCCCTCACCCACATTAACTGGTTATAAAACTCTTAAAGTGGAAACGATAAACAAGATGTGGTTTGGGGCGCCTGGGTGGCTCAGATGGTTAAGCGTCTGCCTTCGGCTCAGGTCATGATCTCAGGGTCCTGGGATCGAGTCCTGCATCG